CCAGGCTCACCCATCCACATAGCAATCTCGACAATGGTCTCTGCTATCCTCGCTCGAAGGGCCGTCCCTCTGGCCCGCTCCAATCTCAACATGGGCGCCAAGCGTTTTGCGCACGTCGAGAACACTCATGGTGCGTTCTCAGCGCTGCGTGCTTCTATTTGACATGGTCAAAAGGAAAGAATCTTGGCTCTGCCTCGGATTGGTGCGAGCTCGCAAGAACGAGCAGCAGCAGCTTGTTGAGGATGCCGTAAAGACGAAGGTGATACTTTAGGAGGCAGGCGATCGGGCCCGTCAAGCTGGGCAGGGATGAATTCATTTCCCGCACTGGCATGTCTCGTCATCGCTATGGTGCAATGCGTTTCGTATCAGCGGCACGCAGGCTGGACACGATCAAGGGTGGCATCTAAAGGCTACTGCTCAGTGGTCACGAATGTCACATTCGCTGACATCCTCATTCACCCTCTGACACAACCAACGTGCCACGCTGCATTCGTAACAGAGACCGTAAGTCGTCGCATAGAAGCATCGCGATGTGCAGCTTGCTTTTCTGTACGACCACACGCTTACTCTGTACGCACCCGTAGTCCCTGCCTTTCGGTCAAGGGCCCAAGAACAAGGTTCCAATCGCCATCGGACTGGTCACTTTCCTCGCCACTGGCTTCTCCTTGCCATTCGTTGCTGCACGTTTCCAATAGTGAGTCGGATCATCGCGCGACTCCTGGACATCTTTGGCAAGTTGTATGCACGTCGCTCGAGGTGTTCACGGGAATTTCTGTCAAGAGGGAGGATTGTGAGATGATAGCAGATACCCAGCAGTTCAAGCCAGCCCCTACCCAAGTGATGTCTGCATTACACTTGATCCGAGAGAAGGTTCAACAGGAAGTCGACGCATTCTCTGCAACTTGCTGCGAAAACCTTCTGCTGAGGACAATGCGCAATCTTGCAAATACGTTATTGTTGTTCTCGAGCTGATGGGATGGGGGCGCGCACGGAATTGCTGGTCTTGTCGCGCAAATCATCATCACGCGTCCGAAGCCGCTGTCCCGAGATTAGCGGAGATGAGGAGGCTCCCGAATGGGCTGGATCGCTGCGATCCGGGCAGCACGCGAACAACCTGTCGATGTTGCTATGCTGTGCTGACCCATCACGATTCGTTCTACGTTTTCGCGTCCACAGCAAGAAGGCGAACAGCTAAGCAGCTCTAGCGCTAGGGCAGGCTTTCGTCTCCGGGCAGATGACCTCATCCAGGTCTTGTCGACAGCAACTCGATGAGAAATTGCATGCGCATTCAAGATCCTCATCTCGCAGTGACGAAGGTGGGATCTTTGTGCAAAACACCTTTTCTTTCCCTCATACAGCGGATGGTGGTACGTCGTAGCAGGTGCAGTAGTGTACAAAAGGGGGATGCAGGGACACGACGTATACGCGCAAATCTGACCGCATCAGAGGTAAAAGTTGCGTCTGTTGACTCCCATGCGAGGCTGTAGAAAGTGAGATCAAGCAGCGTGTATGCGTCAGTTGCGGTTGAAATCCGAAGTGCATGCGGTCTTGCTGATACTCACGTGCCATTCGAAAGCGAGGCCTTCGTTGTCCTCCACCGCCGCAGGGGTCGCCTGTGCGTCCTTGGCGTCTTGTGAAAAGGAAGCTTTGCGCTTCTTCGAGCGTGCGTCTCTGGCAGAGGCTATTTCGCGCTGGTCTTCAGAAGCTTCACCCAAGGCCTCTTCATTCTGCGCAAGGGCATCCTCCGCCGATGTGGATGCAGTGGCTTCATCTGCCTTGCCATCGAAATGCACCTCACCATCCCACGCGCCTGCGCCTTTTGGCAAGCCTTGCTTCAGACTTCTCAACTTGATGGTGAACCTAGGTCCGATCTCCTGCAGCGCCGTCTTGTCCGTGCTCTTGAACATGTACCGATGTCTCCTGAAAAAGATGAAATCGCGCTGGTTGTGCGCCGTGACGACTTGTCTGCCCGCCAATTCCGGCACCCTGGGAAAAAGGCTCTGCAACAGTCTACCGACCGAATGGCCGAGCGTCGTGGTGAAGTTGTTGAGGATCAGCTCAGGCGTGTGAGGAGTGGATCGCGCATGTCCGTAGATTTCCGGACCCATGCTTATGCTCGTCAATCTGAAGAAAGCGGTAGGTCCAACGGGCAAACCGATGATGGTGATCGAGACCGGCTCCTTCTTGTCTTGGCCGATCACCAGCATACCACCGTATCCCCTTCCTCTCGCCCATCCTGCAATCTTGCCCAGACCCGCCCCTTTGGCTTTCGATCTTTGCCTGTACTCGGCGCCCGGAAAGACGTTCAACAACTCGTCGATGAACATTTGCGTCCTCTCGCTCACTTTGCTGCGCGCTTTTGCGGAGCGGAGGTGTGGAGTGACGCTGTTGGAGGTTAGAGAGGTGGTGATGAGCAACGCAGGAGGTGCATGAGGATCGTCCTCCGGATCGACTTCTGATTCCGCGTTGCCCGTCAGCTCTGCACCTTCCTCTGCATCGCGTTCGCCCGCCACTTCCTCCGCGTCGCTGTCTTCAGCGTCGGATTGTGGCAGCCGGTTGGAGGGACCAGGACCAGCGTGCGTATTGGGCGCATTGATGATGGTGGGATTGTACAGTCGAGTGCTCTCGATCGTCGTCGGCACATTCGCCTCCAGTCGAGCCTGGGTTTGCAAGACGCGCGATGATGCGCATTCACGCGGTGTCAATTTGCTGCCTCGCAAGCAAATGATTCAGCGCTCACCTGCTTCTTCAAAGCTCCTTCTTCTCCCTTTTCCTCTTTTCTAAGTCTAATTCGTCGCTCGAGCTTCTCCTTCTTCTTTTCCTTTTGCTGTCGCCGAAAGACTTCCTGTCGCTTGTGCTTGTTGGGGATGCGAATTTGCTTAGAGGGACCCACTTGATCCTGCGCTTCGGTGTCGGACATTGCGGCGCTGGAAGAGTAACAATGTCTGCTTAGCAATCGTAACGCTGTGGAAAACTATGTCGGACCTGAGCGAGACTGGATTGGAGAGTAGGCGAGCGTTGAAGAGTGAGTGGTTGTGTGAGCTGGTGAGTCGCCATATAACGGCGGTCGCAACTCATGACTGCCAGAGGCTTGACCAGGCGCGTGGGGACGGTGGTTTCATGGGAACCAAAAAATCAAACTCATCAAGAGTCACAGTGTGCGCGCAGAGGCAATTTACCGGCCGAGAATCCCTTTTGCTTGAATCAAGAATCAAGAATCAAGAACCCGCGGGAGAGGGACAGAGTCACGTGATGCTCGGCTGCCCATGCATATCAAGTCAAAGTCTTGACTTGCAGGTTGCGTGCGCCCCTTTTTGGACGCTCGCGCGGTTCGTTTTAGCATCGATGCCTCTTGTCCCTTTCTTTCCCCCTTTGCATGCCCATGCACGGCAGAGGTGCCATACGGGCCCGACTCATTCACATTCAAATGCAAATTACGAGTATTGATGATGGTGTCATGTCAGCGTCCGAGACTTGAGTCTCGAGTGGAAAGCAGCTCACGTGGTACCACGCTTTGGCGGTCAAAGTCTGCGCTCACGCACCGTACCCGCACCTGTACGTAAACTTGTAAGGATGAGAGCCAGCGCTGCGATCCATCATTTGCCGTGCTCAGTATGGGCCAAGCGCGGTCAAACTCACTGCTGACTGATGGCAGAAGGCTAGACTCGGGCCAGAGATCGAGATGCAACAAGGCCGCGCTTGGACAGCTGCTGCAGATGCAGATGCAGCTGTCTCCTCTCCTCCATCCTCGCCTCAAGAGCATCACGCTATGCGCGCGCGGGGGGGGGG